CAAAGCCCCAGTAGATAGTTGTATGTCATAGCTGCACATCCTTCTAGTTGCTGTATGTGGGACGCGGCCTCAGCATGGCCGGAGAAGCAGCGCGTCGGTGCGAGCCCGGGATCCGAACCTGGGTCGCCAGCAGTGGAGCGCGCTCACTTAACCACCAAGCCACGGGGCCGGCCCGCATAAGGTTTTCTTAAATCAGAGTTCCGTACGTCACTGTGAAGGGTCCCTAATATTTTTTGAGACCATCATTTCTTAATTTGTCTAAATATTCCTTTATAATTATATTCCAATATAAATCATATTCCAATATAAATATATTTATTTTGATAGTATTATTTATATGCATTTCCTTTGAAGAATAATATCAATATTAGACTGAAATAAATATTTAGAAAACTTATCATATGCTTCATTTAACTTTTCACAAATTTTTTTTTTTTCTCAAAATGTGTTCTTGGAGATTTTTAGAAAGCTCCTCTCTGTCTTCTTATACCACTCATGCAGAGGTATGCTCAGAATGTTCCATTTGCAAGAATGTGAACACACAGCACTATCTTCAGAAGAACGCACTTGTTGTACATTGATTTTTCACCAAATAGCTTATTTAGATTAGGGAATACAATAAGGTTGGAGGTGGTAATAGACTTTATGCTCAAGGGAAAACTAAAAACTTGCTATCCTGAATTAGGTTGGTAGCCTTCTGCTGGCTTAACAATCTTTTGGTAGCAGAGCTTAGTGATACTGCCTCTTTAATGACTGAAAGTCACCCTGTGTCTGCCATCTTGCCTTTGTGAACCTTTGCAGGGCCAGCCTGAAAACTCTTGAGCATTTCTGTGTATCCAGATATCATGGATGATTGGATTTCAGGAAGGAGCAATGAAAATATTTTATTTATATATAACATATAGTAGTATGCTGTAGTATAGGTACAGGTATAGATATGTGTATGTATATAGATGTGTGTGTGTGTGTTTATATATATTTATGTATATATGTGTGTGCTGGTAGAGCAAATGACCTTTGTCACTAGACACAGCAGCTCTGTGCCTTACTAAAAGTGAGCATTAATGGTTACTGCTGTTACAGACAAGCTGCCTAGAGGCTGTCCTCCTCAGAAAATGCCACACTACACAACGGCATAAGTGGTGGTATCTACCAGTACTTGGGAAAAGTTAATTTTTAATGAAAATGAGCTTATAGGCTAA